ACTATTAATATATTATAAAAATTTAATATTCTATATATATTTTTTTGTAAGTATATTAATTAATTACTGGATTTTTATCAAACTTATTTTTAAAATCAATCAATCAATCAATTGGTATTGGAAAGTTTACCTTAATTTTTTAAGTTTTAATTTTTTAATGTTAGAAGAAATATATTGAATATTTATAATTATATAATTAATTAATTATTTATTAAATAATTTACTTAAAATACTATATTAACAATTTATTAATTTATAATATCAAAGAAAAATATAAAGAAAAAAATACTAATTAAAAAAATTATTTTATATCTAAAATTTATTAAATAAAATAAAAATAGCATTTTTATGTTATACATTATATATCTCCAAACAGAAAATAAACCTCCTAAAAAAAATATACGTTAGAAGTGAGTGACTGAATTGTAAGAATTAAACATCCCATTCTTAACTTACTAATAAAATCCACAGCAACTCAAATTTTACCCATTTCAAATAATTTGAATTTCTCCAATTAATTACCTTGTAGTTCCACTCTCTATCTCTATAACAAGAATTCGTGGGTATTAATTGAACAATATATAATAATTAATACCATATGACCTTAATCTATTTTCATCATATTTGTAAACATAATATTGACAAGTTTTATATCACTATGTATTTTGTTATTTGACGGATGTATCAAAATAGCCAAAGGATTATTGAATATAATGACAACAACAAAAAAAAACTTTTTGTAATAACAATGTGTCTTACATTGTTTGCAAAAAAATACGTGAAGAAGCCTCGGAAATTGATAAAAAATAATTTAATGATTTTAAATAATTTTTTAAAAAAGATACGGTTGAATGACTACTATATTATATTCTCATATCATCGAAAGTATCCATCAATTACACATATTTTCGTGGTTTGATTGTTTCAAAATTCCAATTTCCTTTTTTTGATTTACTTGTCTCAATTGATACTTTTCCATCACCAGTACTAATTGCCTTATAGCATAATTATTATAATCGTCGCTATTCCTTAATCTGTTCTTTTTTGATAAAGCAAGATGAATCTTTTCTGTAAACATCACCGTCAATAACTTTTAATTATAAAAACGTTTATTGTAAACCAAAATCTTGTGACTAGCTGATATTGTGCCAGAGAGTGGAAGTGTTTGTTGTACAACAAAATTTTGCGATAATAAACCTAGAGACGCTGTAAATTAGTACCAGATAGTTGAAATAGTAGCTTGTTGACCTTTTGGTAAGATGTTTTCGAGGAGAATATGTATTTTTTTGTGAGCTACCAAGTAATTGGCAAGTGCAGAAAATTATTATTATTTAATGGCATGTAATTGGGGCAGCTCGTTAAACTTGTTGCCCATATTAATAGGAATTGATGAAACACGAGCTCGAGACGATAATCCAGCGGTTATATCCTAATAATTTAGCAAATAATAATCCAACCAAGCATCACATTTTTCAGTCTTGCGAATGTTAATCTTCAAAATCTCTAGATAAATAAAGTGTATGAACAACATTATCCACTGCCACAGATAAAGCTATCAAATAATAAATAAATAATTTTTAATAAAAATAAAATTTTTTTTTAAAGATACCAGATCTACCAAATCACGTAAAAAATTTTTTTTCTCGATTCCCTTTTTGGTTCCATTCTCTGAATTCCAAGTAGGAAACGAAAGACGTTCTTTATCAAAATTTGCTATTCAATACCCGATAACTATTCACTAGTTGTCACAATTTGTTTTTAATTTCACCGATTATGGGTTGGGTGCGAAATGATGGCAATAAAATAAATAAATTTTACCAGCGAATGGTTTAGGGTTTATCAAATCGAAAATTTGTTCTCAAGTCAAAACTTGTTAACTAGAAAGTTGGAAAAGGTTGAAATTGTTAAAACTGTTTTTTTTTGGAGGTATATACGTGAATTTCAAAGTTCTTTTATCAGCGAAAACAGGAAAATCTATAATACGATGCTATCAGTGAATTCTGTTTATCCATATTTAGTAATAATTTATTAAACATATCTGATTCCAATAATTTTTTATTGGACTAATAGTATTTCGCACCCTGAACAGAAATTCGATTATTATGCACTCAAAGCGTGTCAGAATGTACAAAAGCTCCCAATATGCAATAAGCAATATTTATACCGTGGGTTACATATATATTTTTAAACGAATTGCTTTTGTTATTATTAAATTAATAATATATTTTAACTATTCAATATTTCATTTATTTCAGATGCGATCAAGATATCATCATAACATTTACATTACCTTCCCACCTTTAATAATATTCAAAAATGATATCGTAATCATACTAATACACTTTCTTAAATCCCTATAAAAAATGAAATATATATGGGAAGAAATACAGGAATTCATACTGAATCGTTCGATTTAATATGCATTCATTTTATATATTCTCACAAGAACTAGGTGGATAATAATAATTCATTGGGAGTGTGTTAAAATAGGCGCAAGAATTCAATAAATTTCGTCTTTATTAGAATTCAAGTGACCTATCTATTTGGGGCGATGAATTTTTATTCTAGAATCCCATTTTGTAAAAAAGTATACAAATTTGGCATCGATTTGCCAAATATATGTATCAAATGTTTACAAACCTTCTATGTATATTATTAATATATTTATTTTATAAGCTTTATTATATCAAAGCTTCACTTCGCAGAGTCAAATAAAAATAATACTAAATATTAAAAGTATTAATTTTTAATAAAATTATCAAATACTACTTTGTAATAAATAGTATTAAGAAAAATTATGCTTACTAGGAGACGTGATGAAAACTGTGATCAAATATCAAACATTGGTTCTCCAAAACGGATTTGTGTAGTTAATGAGAGTGTTAACCAAGTAAATGGTAGTGGTGGTGGTAGTAGCATAACTGGTGTTATTAACGTTAATGGAGGAGGTGGTAGCGAATCTGATCAAGAGCCTCAATTTTCTACACGTTTCTCTTCACATTCATACACAATATTGTCTCCAAAAAAACGTGTTTGTGTTAAAGATATTAATGATGTTCATAACAATGTTGATGATGACGACGGCAACGACAACGATGATGTTGATGACGACGATAACGATAACGACGACGACGATGACGACGACGACGATGATGATTGGAATGACGATCATCAATTAAATGAAAGTAGTGATGAAACTTCTCTGATTGGGGATATTAGTGATCAAGGGCTGTCAACTGACGAGTACAAACTAAGTATATTTTAAAATAATTTTGTTTTCAACGAAAAAATCAAAAGTTTGAATTTTCATTCCCTTTTTTTTCAAATAAATAAGAAGAAACACCCTTGAGTGAAGAAGAGTGTAAATATTATAGAGATGCAGCTCAAGAGAAAGGTTTTCATTAATATTTATAGTATATTAGATTTAATACTAACGATTTATTAATTGGTTGAATTGAATTAATATTCAAAAAAACTATTTTTTTAAAAGGAACTCAAAATTTCATTCAAGAATTCATATTCGAAAAAAACATTACAATTCATAAGTTATTTTATGCCTTTGATTACAGACTGGTCAGTCTATAAAATATTTGCCTAAATTAGGATTTGGAAGTATCATTACCTAATTGACACATTTCATATTATGGGTGTATTTTACTTTGGATTTTATACATATATCTATATATAACATATCTTTGGATTATAGCCAGCAAGAATAAAGAACCTTCCAGAAAAGGAATTGCTTTCAATTCTTCACAAAATTTTAGCAAAATTCCTTCGACAAAGAAAAAAACTGCCAAATATTAATACTTTACAGGATGTAATCAGGCTATTATCTGAATCATCAAATATCATGGTTTTGACAGGCGCTGGGGTAAGTTTTCTTAATTTATTATTAATACCAATTAATAAATAAAATACATACATATATATGTGTATGTATATTGCTTTATTTTTTCATCATGTATGTTTAGCAAGGACAACTAATAATAAAGAATCCATCAGGTTTCTGTTTCATGTGGCATTCCAGACTTTCGATCTGAAAACGGCATCTATTCTCGATTATCTGAGTTTGATTTGGAAGATCCTCAAGACATGTTTGATATAAATTATTTCAAAGATTGTCCAAAAGTGTTTTATTCTTTTGCTAAGGTTTCTTATTTATTCAAATTATTTTCTGTTTTTATTTAAGATTTGATTGTTTTTAAAATATTATTATCATTATATTTATAGGAGATTTATCCAAGTAATTTTTTGCCATCTCCTTCACATTATTTTATAAAGTTATTGGAAGAGAAAGGCAAACTTTTAAGAAATTATTCACAAAATATTGACACTTTGGAACAAGCTGCAGGGATAAAAAATGTTTTACAATGTCATGGTATAAATATTTCCAAGATTAATGTTTATTTATCAAAATTAAAAATAAAATAGTTTTCTTATCAAATTTTTTTTTTATGTAAAAATAATAAAGGATCTTTTGCAACAGCTAGCTGCTTAGCCTGTGGTTATAGGATTGATGGTGGTGAGATAAAAGATGACATTTTAAATCAAAAAGTGCCATATTGCCCCAAATGTAATCTAGAAAATGATAAATCAGAATTTGAATTAAGAAAAAAATCTATATCTCCATCAGTTATGAAGCCAGATATTGTTTTTTTTGGTGAAAAATTACCTCCAGAGTTTGATAATTATTTTCCTAAAGACCGAGAAAAGGTTGATCTTTTGATTGTAATGGGAAGTAGTTTAAAGGTTGCACCAGTTAGTGAAATAATGGGTATGTACTTTTTGCATTTATTTATCTAATTTAGTATCATGATAATGATAGTTATATACATTTTATAAAAAATATTTATTGTTATATTTTTCTAAGGTCAAATTCCTCACCGTGTCCCACAAATTGTGATAAACAAGACTCCTATTAAACATATGCAATTTGATGTTCAATTACTTGGAGATTGTGATATTATTATTCCAGAGCTATGCAGAATGCTTGATTGGGAACTTTTTCATGAAAAATTATCTGGTGGGTCATCTTTAAAAAAACCACCTGTGAATTATAATTTCTATGAACCAAATGTTTATTTATTTGAAGGAGCAATTGTGAAACCTAAAGAATTGTCTACACTCAGTGTCAAACCAAACATTGAAAGTATTCTAAATAGTGGTCATTTGTTGAAAAATGGTATCAAATCAGAAAATAATGATAAAAAATTGTGTTGAGAGTACTTTAAAATTGGTATCAAAATAACAAATAATCATTACACATACTTTGTGATTTATTTGGCCTATCATTATTAATTAATATTGATATTATAATATTTAATTCAAGTTGATCTTTGATTTTTTTTTAAAATTATAATTATTATCAATATAAATAAAGTAGTAGCAAAGTTTTGGGATACCCTACATATAACAATTACACAATACTAAAAAATAACTTGATCAAATGATTGCTCTAAAGCCTGTTACATAATAATAATAACATTCCTACATGTTTCTCTTTCTGGGTAAATGATGACACCGGTCCATACTGTTAAAATGGTTTAGAAACCAATGGCCAAGCCAGTTTCTTGACATTAACAATCATCCATTCATTTATAAAATTCATTTTTTTGAAATATTATAAATGTCATTTTTATTAAAATAAATTATAAATAAAGTCTTCAACTTTTAAGGACACTGAAACAGCCCTAGGAGCTAAATCATGATTTTGAGAAATTTTGACCCAAAAATTTGGTATTTGTGTACCATATAAAAAAAAAATTCTAATTCATAAGTTTTTAAAGTTGAAAATGTAAAAAAGGAACAGAATAACATTGACAATAAAAATTATGGAGTACAGTCAGACCTCCATAAATGCATGTTATGTCTTGGTCTTGACCTCGGATTTTAGAGCTAAATGCACGCCCTCTATGTTCTGCATTGCAGAGTGTTTTTCATCCATAAATTCATCCACGTGACTTTTGTGTAATCGGAGAAGGTTTGCATAACATTATAAAAATTTGTAAATTTATTTATCTTTGTAATTTTACAACAAAAGTATTTATTCTTATTATAGCTTTGTAATTTACAACAAAATTATTTATTATTATTACATCTTTGCATTTTACAACAAAATTATTTATCCTTAAAAAGCTTTGTATTTTACAAAAAATCTCATCTATTCTTATTATATATAGCTTTGTGATTTCTTTATAATTTGGAAAGGATCAATCCTTTATCTTCAATAAACACAAAATGTTAATATAGATGACTATTAAAACAAAGATAGGTTGATAGAAAGTTGGATTGTTATAAATAAGGGAGAAAAAACTAAAGATTTCAATGTCTAAATCATACTTAATAAAATAGAAACTCTCCCTTATTATTACTTCAAAACTTCAACCAATGGATGCTGGAATATTACAGATGTCATCATATTAAGTATGTATTTTTTTTGTCATATTGTATTAACCTTCAAGTATTTATATGTCCTTTTTTTTAAAGATGGATGCTAGATGAAATTGAAGAAGGTAAAAGAATTGAGATTTAAAAATGAATGTATTACAGGCAATAAGATTCATAATAAAAAGTTGGGAAGAAATCACACCTGAAACTCTCTGTAACTGTTGGTGACATACTAACATTCTTCTGGCAAGTGTTAATCCAATATGTCTGATAATATTAGAACAACAAATGATTCAGTATTAAATGATCTTTTGAAAACACTTGCTGCCCTTAATCTATCTGATAAAATGCAAGCTGAAGAATCTCTAAATATTCCTGAAGAAAAAATTGTTTATGAGGTTCCAAAAGATGATGAAATTATTGAAGAACTTGCAGAAATATATAAAAAAAGGATGCTAACAATTTTGATGGTGATGATGATGATGATGATAGCAATGAACAACCAATAATAAGATCCAAGGAAGCATTAAAAAGTCTTAAAATAATAAAATTGAAAAATATATCAATGTAAAGAAAGGAAGTTCATTGGAACAAACTAAGATAGATAATTACTTTCCTATAATAAGCATGGTGGACATTCCTTTTATATTATTTATATTATGTCAATCATTTTTCAATTGTTTTAGAATAAATGATGGGTTACACTTATGAGGTAGGTGCAAGTACACTAAATAACAACCTTTCAAATTTTGCAAGTATACCCTTTTCACTTCAATATTCCTGGATCTACCCAGATCCATTCAAAGTAACAATTTTTATTTCTTGATTTACAAGTCATTACTAAAATGCCTGTTGGTTTTTGTTCTGTTTGCAAAATAGAAAAAGATGTCTCTAAATGGCGAAATATTTCAAAACAAGGAAAAGAAAAAGCTGAACTAGTAGGTTATGAATTACAGTAAATATAGGCGAAAAAATATGTTCTAAATGCTATAATTTTCATATAGCATATGTTAGACATAATAGACCATCAAATCAACATATTAAAGGTATATTAATTTAAAATATTAATTAAATAAATTAATTTTATTACTATTATTTTGTTTTTTAAATTAATTTTATTATCTATTTTTTTTAAATATTTTTATATCACTTATTTAATTAAATAAATTAATTTTTAGATGGCATGCAATTTCTGATTTTTTTAACAACCAAATAAAAGACTTTCTTCTGTTTTATACAAGTATCAACATTGTGAAAAAAATGTAATTATTAATGATCCTGATGAATTTGTAAAAATGATTGAAGAAAGAGATCCTTTGTTAAAAGGCTTTTTTGATATGCTATATCAAAGCATGAACCCTTCTTCAAAAAATTCCTCTACAGAAATAAGCCTAAAAAGAAAAGTAATGGTTCTCTGTTACCAAATAGCTAGCCTTAGAAACAAGCATGTCAGTTCAGTCAAAAATCAAATAGCTCTATATATGTCAAATACTGGTACATCTACATCAGGTATTAATACTTTAGCAAACTTGGGTATTGCATCCACCTATAAAACGGTTCAAGAAAAAAAAAATGAAATTCTTTTAAATCATGAAGATAGTGTTTTTAAATATCTTAATACAAAAATTAATTCATTAATTATATTCCTTATTGATGATTATCATGACATCCATCAATCCCGAAATCCAATTGATGAAAATCTATCAAATGTTGCACATATGGCAACTACCATGATCTATACTCCAAATGTATTACCTTTGCCACATATGTATATATTGAACAATAAAGTTTTTTACTTTAAAATTACGTTACACGCATAAAAAATTAGTGTAACATTTCGAATGTCCATTTCTTTTTTGAAAAAGATAAGTAATTAATATTATAAATAAAATAATAATGTAATATAATATAATTTATATAATAATAATATATATAATGATCTTTTTTTCCCTTACTAACCGCATAACAAGATCTGTTTTTTTTTTGAAAAAGAAAAGTAATTAATATTATAATAAAATAATAATGTAATATAATATAATTTATATAATAATAATATATATAATGATTTTCTTTTTTTTCCTTACTGGCCGCATAACAAGATCCTTTTTTTTTTTTGAAAAAGAAAAGTAATAGTAATTAATATTATAATAAAATAATAATGTAATATAATATAATTTATATAATAATAATAAATATAATGTTTTTCTTTTTTTTTCCTTACTAGTCACGTAACAAGATCCTTTTGAAAAAGAAAAGTAATTAAAATAATGTAATGACATAATATAATAATAATATATATAATGATTTTCTTTTTTTCCTTGCTAATCGCGTAATAATTGTTCACTAGATCTGGTTTTTTTTTTGAAAAAGAAAAGTAGTTAAAATAATAATGTAATAATATAATATAATAACAATATATATAATGATTTTTTCCCTTAATTGTTTGCATAACAAGCTTGTTCACCTAGATCTCTAATAAAATAATAATGTAATAATATAATACCATTATTATAATATTCTTTTTTCTTTTTCCTTTTTGAAAAAGAAAAGTAATTAATATTATATAATAAAGTAATAAAGTAATATAATAATAATTTTTCCTTACTAGTTGCGTAACCTTTTGTTACTTTAAACTTCCATGCTTAAAACACCTCTTCAAATATTATTTTTCTTCAAAAGAAAATATTATCTTTTTCACCTAAAAGAAAGTATTATCTTTTTCACCTAAAAGAAAGTATGTACAATAATAATACAAGTGTATATAATGTATATAATTATAAGTTACTACCCAAAAGAAGTTTTTTTTATATATTAAACCAAGGTGTATATAGCAGTTTGTGTTGAAAATTTTTTTTTGTAAACAAGTTATTAATTGTATGGTAGAAGAAAATTATAACAGAAAAATAAGTTAATTTAAGAATTTGCCAAAAAAAAAAAGAATTTACAAAAATGATGTAAAAATGAATACATTTTTTGTACCAAAAAAATTTCCTTTGAGGGAGTGATCAAATTATCATTATCAATTATCAATTAATAATTGTAAGATTCTCATATTGGCTACCTGATTAGTTTCTTTCTTTCGCCCACCAGCAAATTCTATAGTTAAAGGAGTAGTAGTTCTAACAGCTAAATTATTTTCTTTTACAAAATTTTTATCAATGAAATTTCATGAAGCGCCACTGTCTAAAAGAATCCATGCATCTTTCCCATTGATTTTACCATTGAACCAAAGCAAGCTTTCTTTATTTTCTTCAAGTCGAACTAGTTCCAAATTGTTATTACTAGCAGTGTCATCTTCAATATTTTAAGTGTGGAACTTTGCAGTCTCATGAGAAATGTCCTAACCTTCCACAATTATAACATCCTTCCTTTGATGAATTACCTTTGTTATTGTTACTACCATGATTATTATTGTTGTTACTAGAATACTTATTTCGTTGAGTACAATTATGATTTCTACTTTCTCCAATGTAATCAAGATCCATTGGTCTTGGTCCTCCATCATCTCTTGGTGGGGGGTGGTGGACAATTATAGTTTGTGGTTCGTGACTTATTACTATTCATTGGTTTCCAATTCCCCACATTGCAGAATCATATCATACAGCAAGATGCAGCTTCTAAACTTTGTGGTGCTTGGTATGCTAATTCTTTTCAGGTATCAGGTTTTAATCCATCTAAATAATGTATGTGCCAATTGGTCCAGGTCTCCCATTCCTTCTATTTGTCTAACAACATTTTGGAACTGGGTGGTATAATCTTGGACACTCCCTGTTTGTTTCAATTGTCTCAATTGTTGACGTAAATAAGATTGATAATTTGGAGGTTGGAAAGCAGCTCGCACAGCAGTTTTAAATGCATTCCAATCACCCCATGGTACTCCAGTATTATTTCCATGTTCTGTCATTCGAGCTAGGTACCAATGTAATGCAGCTTCTTTCATTCCAGTACTAGCATAGTAGCAACGAATTGCAACATCATTAATTCCTTGAGCAGCAAAAATTGTTTCAGCTTGCATTAACCATGTAGCTACATTCTCTTTGGTTTCTCCTTTAAAAATCGGAATTTGTACTGCAATCCTAGGTGGTGTATTTCCGCCTTGTTGATTACCAAGTTGTTGAGTGAGTTGTCCTAATGCTGCTATTAATTGATTGAATTGAGTGGCATCCATTGTTGTTACTTGTTGTTCTAGATTATTTGTAATAGGTTGGTTAGTAAATTGGTTGTTTGATCCTATGACTGGCGTTGTATTTAATTGTGTAGTTGGTTGTTGGACCCTTCTTCTTTGTTGATTTAAAATGTCAGATTTGTCTAATTCTCTTCCTGGTTGTGATGTAGAAATAGTAGAGTTTTCTTCTTGAGAGTTTTCTTCGTCAGAGTCACTGTCAGTGTTGTTTTCCCTAAATATATTATAAAAGTTACTCATACAGAGTTGTTAGAAGTGTGTGTGTAAAAGTGTGTGTGTAAAATTATGTGTGTGTAAAAGTATGTGTGTGTAAAAGTATGTGTGTGTATATAATTTCCGCTGCTACCAACTTGTAAGGAAACCCTTTTTCCTTACGTCAAAATACTATATAATGGTTTTAATTATTAAAAAAAATACAAGTTATACAAGTTATTCTTTATTAATTACGGAAAGCTTATCTTTTTATACAAAAATGCATAATATAATATTACAATTAAATAAATAAAAATAATATCTTAGAACTTCCCGGAAAGCCGCAGCACTTAATTTGTAACTCATATACATAAGAAAATAATATAAATAATAATAATATAAGTAATATAAATAATACATAATATAAATAATAAGTAATATGACGATAATATATATAAATAAAGTTGTAACGTTTCGTTTTAATTTAACGCGTTACGCGAAATAAATTTTGTATTACTGTGCCACATTTCATATTCGCAATTAACGAAAAAGAACTGTTACAGGATCCCAGTATTGTTTCATCAACTCGGAATAAAAATCTGGTGTATCATAGGTAATCTCTGGCCTTTCTCCTCCCATAATCTCCAATATAAGATTAAAATTATGTGATCTATCATCAAAGGGCTCTTTACCAGAAGTATATACCCACATTATCATCCCAAAGCTATATATATCGGATTATTTTGTATATGGTTTGCCTAATAATACCTCAGGTGCCAAATACGGTATAATACCATAAACTTTATTATTTGGATTATTTTCTTTGACCGGTTCACATAATCCTAAATCTGCTATAATGCTTTTCTTATTCTCATCTATCAAAATATTGCGACTATGCAGGTCACAATGCGCAAAATCTTTAGAATGAATTTCATTTAGCCTGATGAAAAATAAAGAATTATTAATTTATCACAAAAAATTTACAAAAATAATTTGAAAGTCAAAATTACCCAATCGAAATATTCAAAAGTGATTCTAATTTATCTTTCCAGTAAAAATTCTTAAAATTTTTTGACAAATATTTATGTAAATCACCTCCTTGTGCATATTTAAGTACTATCATATAATTTTTTCTTGCATCTTTCGTAATTCCGTAACACTCGTTAATAAAATGGTTGCAAATTATTTTATGTGCTTCTAGCTAATAATTTTAATAGTTCACAATTAATTAAATTACTCGGTAAATATTCAAAACTCAAAGGTTTATTTACCTCTTTTAATATTAGTGGGATAACTCTTTGTGAAGTGTAAATGCATTTTAGCACTACTTTTTTATTACTAGACCAATCGGCAGTATATGTGATTCCGAATCCCCCTTCGGCTAATAGTTTAACTTTAGAAAATTCATCATATGAAATCCACTTAATCTTGCTCCCATCCTTCCTACAGTCATAAAGAAATTTTGCCAATTCTTTATCCCCGCATTGCTTCGTTAAATTTTTAATCATTGTTCCTTTACTGTAGCTGTTATTTTCACCTACTCGGTTTTTCATTGCAAGATTTATTGGTTTACTCAAAAAGAATTTTGTAAAATTTGTTTCATTGTAAGTTTATCACATATTTTACAACCCTTTTATGATATTACTTAATCATAATTACAAATAAAGAAATATAAATATTAACACATATAATAAATAATGTTTTTATGGTGTGATATATTAATATGTTATGTATAAATGGAAAGGCTCCAAATGAATCACCTAATTTGATTTGTTTCATTTGGAATTTGAATATGATTTATGATTTGATTTGAATCTAACCTCCACTAAATCAATATGACTGCTGCATTTTAATGCATAATCAATATTCACAATTACTCAAATTATTGCAAATTGAGCCAAAAAATATTACCTAGTGCAGTAATAGCATTTTTCTTTTTCATCTATAACTGTGAAAGGTTCCACGTTGCACTATTCTCGTTGAAGAAGTTATCATTTTCAACAATGTAATTATCATCATTCATCATTTGTTATATATATTTATTTATTAGTGATATTAGCCGTTAAAAAAACATTGGCTGGCTAAGCTGATAAACCCTTAGTCAGCTAAGGACTTGTATAAATTTTTTATTTTGGATAAATGATACTTTATATATTTATGAATCACCAAAAAATCAATTGTTAAATCAAAAAAGTTATTGTTATTATAATTACTAATGGTAATGTCCTACCTAGTGGTGTAAGCCGGAGAAAAACCTTAGCCGATTAAGGACCTGGATAAAATTTTTAAATAACGTGTACTTTTTAAAATTCGATTGTTTTTATATTTTTAAAGTCTGTTTCTTTTTTCTTTGTAAATAAATCAGATTGTTATTATTGTTATTATTGTTACTATTATATTACTATTGTTTTCTTTATTATCCTGCTACAAGCATTGTATTTTTTTATGTATGATTTTTTCTTTTGTCACTCCAACTAATGCAAATAGACCCATCTCAATTAAGTATCTATATGTCAATGAATTCTGCGCTAAATTCCAGACGTAAAAATGAATGTTAAGAAAAAAAATTTTATCATCTTAGCCGGCTCACATCACTTGTTCTACCTACTTTTACTATTAATAATAGTATTATTACCATTGTTATCATTATTTACTAATAGTTCATTGTTAACTACTAATATTACTATTGCTACTACTCATATTATCGTTGTCATTATTGTCTCCTACTTTACTATGAATATTTGTACAAAAAAGAAAAATCAGCCGGATAATGAGACCTGGATTAGTAATTATCATCAATATATTAATATGGTGAAATGAATATATATTAACATTCAAACATTTTGTCTCGCTTTCTGTCTTTTTCCAAAAGTGATAACTTGTCGAATATTTGTAAATATACAAACATGCTTAATTCTTGTTCTGACATGCCATTGTATAGACTGCCACATGAATAAAGTAAATGATTACAAGCAATTAAATATAATAAATGATTGAATAGCTGAATACAAATCATCAATCCATAATGCTTATAGGCAATTAGCGGTGCAAAAAGCACATTTTTTTAGATACGTTTCATGCTAAAATTTTCTCATTTATTGATTAATTACATAATTATTCTTTCGAGAAATAATAACCTATCAATTGTGTTAATTTGAATAAAGAGAGATAGAATCGCATACAATTTTTTAAAAATATTTCAAATTTTTTCTTTTTTTCAGGAATCAAACTATCTGGCATAAGTACAATTTTGAAATTTAAACTATTATATTATCAATATCTTGTCGGCTTTTTTTAAAACAGCCAAACTTCTCGTCTCTTTCTAGATCAGTATTCTTTTAATAATTATAAAATTCAGTTTTGTTGCTTGCTTTTAAATTTTTATTCCGAGTCGTCTTTTTAATCTTGGCAAATTTTAATAGTAGTTGAAACCTGCACGGAAGAACCAAAATATTATTTCTTCTTCACACATTTGCATTGCTGCTTTATGAAAAATATAAAATGTCATCATCAATATCTTTTTTTTTACTCATTGATAAAGAGGAATAATTTTTTTTAAAATATAATTCATTAAAACTTGGAAGAATTTTTAATATCACCAAAAAAATTGGTCTTTTAAAAAAAGTTCTGATTAATTTATAAAATAAATAAATAATCATAAAATAATGCTCGGTGAATGAAGATTTATTATTTTCTGTGAACCATAAATTCGTTTTTGTTATCAAATTTTTCAACTTCCAACCCCAGTCCAGCTATATATATAAATTAAAGATTAATAAATTAGAATGAAATCATAAAATTTAAATAATAGATAAATGAACAAACAGATCAATTTCTTACCTCTAGCAACAAAAGCTGCTGATATACATAAATTAACAATCGTTGAATCATGCGTTAGACTTATTGAATTAATTTTTAAAAATTGACATTTATTTGATGTTGTATTGTTTTTATATTCATTGCTACCAATCATTTTTCTTTTTGATTCAGCTGTTTCGATAGTCTTTTTGTAGTATTTATTATTTGCAAGATATCTACACAACTTATTTTTGATTTGGCTTGCGGTTGGTCTTTTATTGGGATCAGAATCCCAGCATTGTTTCATTAAAATGGCATAAAAATTTGGTGTATCACTGGTTATATTTGGTCTTTTTCCTCCAACAATTTCAATCGCAAGGTCAGTATTATGTGATCTATCATCAAATGGCTCCTTACCAGAAGTATATACCCACATTATCATCCCAAAGCTATATACATCAGATTCTTTTGTATATGGTTGGCCAGATAATACCTCGGGTGCCATGTATGGAATAATACCGTAAACTTTATTATTTTCTTTAACCGGCTCACATAATCCTAAATCTGCTATTTTGCTTTTCTTTTTCTCATCTATCAAAATATTGCGGCTATGCAAGTCATGATGCACAAAATTTTTAGAATGAATTTTTTTTAACCTGATGAAAAATAAAGAATTATTAGTTTATCACAAAAAAATAATTTACAAAGAATCAAAAAATCAAAATTACCCAATCGAAATATTGTAAAGTGATTCTAATTTATCTTTCCAGGAAAAATTATTAAAATTTTTTGACAAATAATCATGTAAATCACCTCCACGTGCATATTTGAGTACTATCATATAAGTATTTTTCTTTTCATCTTTGGTGATTCCATAACACTCGTTAATAAATTGGTTGTGAGTGTTGTAAATTTTTTCATGTGCTTCTAGCTAATAATTTTTAATAATTTAATAATTAGCAATTGATTTAAATTAATCAGTAAATATTCTAAAAATCAAGGAATTTTATTTACCTCTTTTAGTATTATCGGAATAGCATTTTTTGAGTCGTATACGCTTTTCAGGACTACTTTTTTATAAAAAAATTTACTAAGCCAATCGGCAGTATGTATGATTCCGAATCCTCCTTCAGCTAATAGTTTATGATTAAAAAGTTCGTTATGTGGAATCCACTTAATCTTTCTACAGTCATAAATAAATTTTGCCAATTCTTTATCTCCGCATTGCTTCGTTAAATTTTTAATCATTGTTTCTTTAGTCTCGCCTACTCGGTTTTTTGGTTTGGAGTGCGTATTTCATTGTAAGATTTATTGGTTTACGCAAAAAGGATTTTGTAAAATTTGTTTCATTAACCCTTTTATGATATTACTTAATCATAATTACGAATAAAGAAATATCAATATTATTACATGTAACAAATATTTAATATAAATAATAATCATTACTATCATGCAATGTTTTTCTCTTTATGGGTAGATTATAAGAAATATGACAATCATTCCATATGTGTTAAATGGAAAGGCTCCAAATGAATCATCTAATGATGGATGATCATTAAATTAATAGGACTGTTGCATTTCAATGCATAATCATTATTCAAATTGTTGCAAATTGAATTCTGTATAATTTAATAAATGGTTTCGAAAGTCAAAAAATTATTTTCCTAGTGCAATAATTGCATTTTGCTTTTCCATCCACAACTGTGAAATGGTTCCACATAGCACTATGCTCGTTGAAGAGACATCATGCAATTATCGACATTCATCATTGTCATATTTGATAATATTTACTAAACCAATCGGCAGCATGTATTATTCTGAATCCTCCTTCAGCTAATGGTTTAACATAATAAATTTCTTCATGTGAAATCCATTTAATCTTGATCCCATCCTTTCTACAGTCATAAAAAAAATTTGCCAATTCTTTATTTCCGCATTGCTTTGTTAATTTTTTAATCATTGTTTTTTACTGTTGCTGCTGTCTTCGCGCATTTTTCGTTGTAAGATTTATTAACATATGATAAATTTTTAGCTAATAGTTTTGATGCATGTAACCTTCCATAATACATATATATTTATTTATTAATTAATTTTATTAAAAGTTGGCAAACCCATTCAGAAGAAGTTTTTTTATCTGGAAGTGCTTTTGAAATAAACATTTAAACTAAGGGAATATTTTGTTGAAAATTTTTCAATAAAACAATTTACACACATACTGTACTGTATGTAAATTAAAATTTCTAATCTTCACTTATTTGGATGATGAAAAATTAAGACTTTTGGTATGTGTTATATATTTTTATAGTGAAAATTTGTATTGTAACCCATAATTTGTATACAAATTAACCTCTCTATTATTATCTACTTGTAATTGTTGTAAATATTGATAAAGACTTGGTTATGCCCATGAGCTGGCTACTTTTTTTTTGAGGAGGGAAGTTTGGGAATAACTTCAAAAAATTATTACTATTTATTTTATATGTTGAACTTACATATCTCTAAATATATATGCTTTAAACCTCCATCTGCTTGAGAAATTTAGGCAATGGCATTTGATCCAAAATTTATTGAGCTGTCTCAAAATAATCATCAAATATTTATTATATTATATTTATATTTATATATACAATAAGAGCTACTAAAAAATTTTTATAATTATGGCATAGCAAATCTTCATCACATCATCCTTCAGTATCACAAAAAAATATTAAAATCATTCAACTTTGTCAAAGGCCAGAAATTTTTCTTATAGAATTTCTATTTGTAATTCAACCAATCAATTACAAATAGTAACCTTTATTTGAATAGAGACTTTAAAACAAAATAACAAGTAACACTAGTGACTAAGTCACTGTCATAAAGCATTCATCTAGTTTAAAATTATAAGATTGTTTAACCAATGGAACAACAATGGTTAAATTTTCCAGCCTTTTAATACTTCGAATAAAATTTGCAATTTTTGGTTCTTTTTTTTTAGTCATCTGCAAATAAAATATTATTTTAGATAAATATATATACACTACTACACACATAATATGTTTGTATAGTTTTATTTGTTTACCATAATATTTCTACAACGTATATCATAATGAAATATTTTACATGAGTGTAAAAATGTAAGTCCACAACAAATTCCAAGAGCTATTGATACTTTGTCAGGCCAACTAATGACATAGTTGTCGTAAACATTATCCAAATTGCCCATTTCTGTCCATTCAAGAGCCATAACTGTTGAATAATCAACTGTAGAATGACCATAGAATCTCAATATATTCTTTGAATCATGTAATTTTTCCAAAATAGCTAGTTGTGTTTGAATCTTTTGATATTCATTAGCTGATAGGTCATGAATTATTATATACCGACAAGCAACTCCTATATCATCTTTTAAAATTTTTTTGCGAATAATCTGGCCTTTTTTTTCGGAAAACAGATGGTTTTTTATACTTGGGATCTTGTAACATATTTGGTGGTATTTGAGTTGCCTTTATAGAATTATTATCAACAATTTGATTTATCACATACTTGCTGTGGCTATTAAAGTAGCAAAGGGCCTAAATGCTTCTCCACAGAATCAGTAGTATTGTGTGATGGTTTATCCATTATTATTTTTTGAATAATGAAGGATAAAATTGACTTTATTTATGTATGAACTTGTGATATATGCCCCATAAAAAGGTCCGGAAAATTCTAGTTGGTCTACTCACAAAGGATTTTGTAAAATTTGTTTCATTGTAAGTTTATCACATATTTTACAACCTTTTTATGATATTACTTAATCATAATTACAAATAAATAATCATTACCCTTCATGCATTCTCTTTATGGTAGATGATAATGCAATAATATGACAATCATTCCATATGTATAAATGGAAAGGCGTCAAATGAATCACCTAATTTGATTTGTTTCATTTGAATTTGAATATGATTTATGGTTTGATTTGAACCTAACCTCATAGGACTGCAGCATTTTAATTCATAATCATTATTCATAATTACTCAAATTATTGCAAATTGAGTTAAAAAAATATTTACCTAGTGCAATAATAAAAGGCTCCGCATTGCACTATGCTCGTTGAAGAAGTTAATGAAGAGACATCATTTTCAACAATGCAATTATCATCATTCATCATTGTAATATATCAGCTGTTAAAAAAACTTTAGCCGGCTAAGCCGATAAACTCTTAACCAGCTAAGAACTTGTATAATTTTTTTTTATTTTTATTGTTTAATCAAAAATGTTATTGTTATTATAATTTACTGATGGTCCCGTCCTACCTAATGATGTAAACTGGAGAAAAACTTTAACCGGTTAAGGACCTGAATAAATTTTTTAAATAACATATACTTTTTTAAAAATCAGTTGTTTTCATATTTTTAAAGTCTGTTTCTTTTTCTTTGTAAATAAATCAGATTGTTATTATTGGTACTATTATATTATTATTGTTTTCTTTATTATCCTGCTACGAGCAATTTTTTTTTTTGAGCATATGTATATTTTTTTCTTTTGTCACTACAACTAATGCAAATAGACCCATCTCAATTAAGTGTCTATGTCAATGAATTTTCCACTAAATTCTTAAATGTTAAGAAAAAAAATTTTATCATCTTAGCCGGCTAAGCTGTTAAAATCCTTAGTCGGTCATGTCACTAATATTTATTATTTAAAAATAATTTAAAATATTAAAAAAAGTTTACTATTACAGAACAAATCAAATCAAATCAAGTCCAGTTTTTTTTTTAGATTTTATTCCAGTATGCCCAATCAAGAAAAACTTATTCAAGAGTTAACTGAATAAAAAATCAAAATGGTAAAAATTAGAGTCAAATTTAACAAGCCAGACAAATCTTGAATAACCAAGTGAAAGTAAAAGCGAAAGAAATGAAAAAAAAAGAAACCTAGCGCGTGATTTTATATTTGGGTTAATTATTCCGTATGGAAGCTATCGAGTAATTTAGAGAGATCACAATTTCGAAATTGCCTTTTTTTCTAAAGCCCTACCCGAATTGTTTGTTTCCTTTTTTCATTGGCTCACTGCGCATTTACAACTGTAAGTTATGACTAAACTTTTGGCTTGCCATGACGAATCTAAAGCATTGACTAAAGTCAGTTTTTCATCAAGGCCATTTTGACGATTTGACTTAAGTAAATGCCCTTGACGTAAGTAAAAACACTGATGTAATTAAAATCACTTAAAAATACTTGATGAAAGTAAAACACGATCTAAAAATAATAAAATTAAAAAAAAAAAATTTTTGTCACACGATTTTCTTTACTTTTGCAAATAACCTTGATTTAATCTTGACTGTCAATATAAAGGACGCACAACCATTTTCGTGATATGTAAATTTGAACTAACGTAACCGCCCAAAATTTTTGAAAAACATTATAATAATAGTATATAAAAGAAAATAAACATAGTAACATTGCAATATTACATTTTTCCTTTACTTGGTCGCAGTTCTATTAAAAAAATAGCAACTGTAAGTATTTAGTCATAATATTATATATACACACATTTATTAGATATTTTACAAGCCTTCAAAGCAACAATTTTACTTGTGTTAAAAAGTTTTTACTTGTATCATTTTGACATAATGGCAAGTGAATTTGACGCAATAGTGTCAAACAACATTAACTACACGTGTAACAGCCAGTTTGTTTATAAATCAATTTTATATTAGGAAGAAGCATTACTTTTAAGGTAAAATATCTTACTCAATTGATGATCCAGCTATGAATCAGTGAAAACTTCGGCAGTTCTTTGGTCTATACTGTATACAGTAAGTAGTAAGAATGGTTGACGAAATTCTACTTGCGGGAACAAAACAATCTATTATTAATTCATTAATATTAATATACAATGAATCAAAATCGGGAGGTGAAATAAACAAAATTTATGGAGTACAAATTAATTGTAATAGCTCTAGAAAGAAACCGTTAAGAGAATCAGCAATAAAATACTTCAAGAACTAGATCACAAATAAATACTATGAGTGCAAGTGCAAATTCCAATAGTTGAAGAAATCAAGCGGAAAATACATTATTACACCATAACAAGAATCAAGCAGACATGAGGAAAATATAAAAGCAATCTGGTTGGTAATTGACGGAATTAATAAACCAAAGAATTGTATCAACGAGAAAGGAATGAAACGTTGAAAAATTAGAAGCAGCCTCGGAGCTAAAGGAAAAAGAAGAAGGAAGACGGGAGATAGAGAAGAAAGAATTCATCAGGGAACGATGAATTTTAAGAAGGGGAAGGTTGTGGGATAGTGAATCTTGGACCTATCAATTGCCTGTTTAATATTGACCAATTAGAACGAACTTATTATGGAAGTCATGCGAGGCGCTAAATATTACATCACGATCAACGACCATCTTTCTATATTAATATATTATTGTAACGGTTGCGCCGCATATCGTGTAATGTTATACTGAAGATCTTTATATTCATATTTCTACTTATGTATTTCATTTGATGTAAATATTTATTTAGAATTAGTAAGTAATTAGTTGATAAGCATATTATTGGAGAGTAGAATAGCACAAATTACAATATTTGTACTGCCCCAAGAGGTATAAATACATTTGGTTTTAGACCAGCTAATAACAATATTGTTGATAACAACCTTGATAACAATAACATAATAATAATTCCCAACACTCTAAATAAATATATAACCCATACATAAAATAGTCTTTGACTGTAATTAACTACCAAACCCAGTATGATTGATTCCCAGCCCTTCTAATGATTATGGTCTGGCCAACCTTTAATCATTAAAATAGATCTGACTCTCTCCTCCAGAATACATACAATATTCATAAGAGAATTTAAAAAATTACCAACTTTTGATAAACATGATGATATAACTACACACATCAGAATATTTAATTTGGAATAGCAGACTTCAATGATTTAAATAAAACAAATAAAAGTACTTGGCAATAAAACTTCAACAAGATCTCAAAAATTTTACAAAACATAATCATTAAATATATATGATTTATGTACTTTAACAAATCAAAATTATATAAATAATTGAATCGATTTTTTGCAAAGAGCATATGAATATTTTAAAAAATATGCCAAGGATTCAAATATGTGTGTTTGGAAAATTTAAATTTATTTACATTTAAATTTATTTACATTATAATGAATTTAAATAATATGAATCGGGCATTAGCAAAACTTGATCTATTAACTAATAGAGTCAGTCTATTATGGGATTCATTAAAATATAATCCACCTACAAACTTATTGTCTCTTTTAAATGGGTTTTTTATTCTCTACAATATTAAATTCAATCAAATCAATTTAATCAAGGAATTTACAAATCAGTAACCCACTTTGGACTGTGGAATTATAGTTATTAATTATATTGAAAAAGAATTGGGAATAAGTAGTTTAACTTGGAGTAGAGATCAATCATCCAATTTTAGACTAAGATGCTTGTGTTTATTAACTAGTCACATAAATAATTTATGAGTTATAAATTTTCCTTCTGATGTTGGAAATTTAATTAATGAAAAATTTCCACTTAAATCATATTTAAATTATTTAAATGATATTAAAGAAGATGATAATTCTTCGTTATATTATCATCCACTTTGGACAAGATCAAAAGTAGATTTGACAACAATGAAATTTATGATGAAATGGAAATTTATCATGAAAATGAAATTAAGTGTGAGATTGATAAAGTGGGAATTGATCACAAAATGAGACTGATCATGAAAATATATCAAAGAAAAACATCAATTACTAAAATTTATTATAATTAAAAAAATTAAAAAGTTTATTAATAATATGGGGCATACTGCAACAAAACCAGACAAAGTGAACATTGGTATAACCAAGAATTTTAGGGATCAAAATTTAGTCAT